CAGCCGCCATTTTGATTTACTGGAGGTGACAAAAAGTATTCTACATTCTTCATTGGGACTCGTCAGATGGCACTATAAGCGTGGAGCAGCAGTATGGGAGGTCCAGTGCAAAAGTGCTACCGTACAGCTGTTTTGAAAATTGTTTTTTAATACTCGTCAATCTGAATGAGGTAGAGTCTACAGAGCGACCTATCTACGCATCAACGTAACCATAAAATTGAACAAGTACTGATTGACAATTTACCTAAAACAAGACCTAGAAATTATGTACCATGTGCCTCACATTTCTTAACATAATCTTTCGTGGAATTACATCCATTTGCCAAGTTTTATTGGAATCGGTTAGTGGAAAGTGCGCTAAACCGGATTCATCCCTTAGTTTTCCACTTTCAGAAGGTGAATATTTTCTTCAAATTTAAACCCTCTTTCTAATAAAAAATAATCATCAAAATGGGTTCGGTTATCGCATAGCATACATACAAAAAAATACAGTCGAATTGTGGACCTCCTCCTCTTTTTGAAAGAAGTTAAAAATGACATAAACCTCCTGACATCATTTATTGCTATGCCAGTTACATACATACGTATAGACTTAACATATATTCATAACTCGTACAACAAACCTTGTTTATATAAACAGTTAATGTTTGTAAATGGTTTATTTTTCTTAAAAGGGGCTATAGTTATTTGTTTATAATTGTATAATGTTGAAATCCAACAATGATCTAACAGTTTGCGAATGGAAATTTGAGATATCCGATTCTTCATATAAAATTCTTCTTCTTGAAAGAATATCAGTATCCAAGGACTGTTTGATTGATGGTGTTTTATTGTTTTCATTAACTCGTACAAAAAGCATTGTATGCAATCATTAGATACATAATTAGGTCTTAAAATTTCGTACCTATTATTTAGGACACTCGGCAAGGCTTCGTGGCCTATTACTATTTATCAAATTAGATAATTTCAAATACTAACCTAATGTGTTTTAATAATTTTGATAGCGATGTCTCCCTTTCCTTTAACATATTAATTTTCTTTAAATCAGCTCGATATTTTAAAAAATGCTCCTAAGTCAACGAATTATGAATTGGCCCACTGTGCGCCTTTTTAGTTTTGAGACAGATTATACTCATTCAACTACTAATGACGTTAGAAAAGCGAACTTTGCACAATGCACAATCATTTTCACATTGTGAATATTGTGGGTAGTTTCGAATATTTACTGTCAAATGACAAATGTCGAATGTTTTCTTTGTAAAATTAAAAATAAGGTATTTAATTAATAACTATTGTAACTATAGTGATAAAATAGGGTGGTTTGCATCAATATTAGACATAACTGGTTGAAGACTGTACCACCTCAGTCAACCGTGACCATGGGACTTGTAAAGGGCCCGAAACATCGGTTTGTTTGAAAAAACAAATATACGCGATTTAAATCCGGAATAATAGTTTCATTTCCTATGTGTAACAATCGCGAATACCTAAGAACTCGTTATCTTCATATTTTCTTAAATCTTTGTAATGAAGTTGATATTATCCATTTATTGATCTGGTTCGTAAAAAGGGATGTATCCAACATCTTCGGTGTCTTTTTATTTGAGTGAACAAAAACCAAATAGGCAGTATAACTGCAGCGTCCTGAATGAGTTCTGTATTAACCGTTCTTGTCAAAGAAGGATCTCTGCTACTTATACAATCACTACGGCGATCAACTGCGAAGCGAGTACTTTAAGTGACGCGGGGCCACTCTAGACCGCTGCCCCCGCGCGGATTAAGCCGCGCGTTGACGCAGATCTGCGTCTCTGCCACCGCGCGCGTGATTGCAGTGCAGTGTGATAATCGCCTAATAGTGAATTCAAATAATAATTAATATAATAATTGTTATAAAACAAAGCTTGCAAAGATAATCCAGAAACCATAGTTGGCATAGTCTAAGCGCCTGCAAAAGTGTTATTAGCAATTAATTACACGGACAAGATAAACTGTCATTTTAGATGATAATTTTTGCAAAGGCGATTTCTTATTTTTTTTGAATAACTTTTTATAGAAGCTTCCTAAAATAGCAAAAAGTTTAGGTAGAAATTAGGTAGTAAATAGTTAAATTAAAAAAGTAAATTATATATTACATGAAAAACTTAAAGTGGTCCAGCCAACCTGACGTCAGAATGGCTGACCACTTTATTTCTTTAATATTTCCGTTAGCGCAAAGGTAGAAAATATGTCAATAATACCTTTATTGACAAATAGTAGAAAATAGGTAGTAAATAATGAGCACAGTTTGATTTGTATATCTCGTTTGGTCTAGCCATCC